CCTGTGGGGGCAAGACGGAGCCCAGGAATATGCATTTAAGCAAGCAGCCCAGGGGATTCCCAGGCTGCTGGCCCATCCTTTGGGTGACAGCACAATGAACAATGGTGGCCGGAAGGCAGTAGTGAAGGCCATCGGTCATCCCCAGGCCTCTCTGACCCTCGTCCATCAAGAATGCTGCATCGCGAGCTAAGTTTCTTGTGTCAGATGGCGTGCCCCAGGCCTGACTTGAGGTCGGACCTTTGTCATAACCCTTTGGAAGACCACAGTCTTCTCGCTAAGACACTGGTTTCAAGTGTAGGGTAAGAGCTGAGCTCTGCTGCGATTTTTCCCTCAGATTAAACTCTTCACCAAAACCCCTGCAGTTCAGGAACTCAGAAGGTCCCTGCAGATGATTCCCTGCTCATGCCCAGGTGGGCGACTGAGACAACTGTTTGATGGTTTGAATAATAAAACAGACAAACGGAGGCAAAGAGGTTCCACGTGGAAGCTGTCAGAACCTGTTGCTGCTGCTTCGGAAAGGGGAATCCAAGGATCCCCAGGATGCTGCCCCTTGAAGATCTCCTGCCCCCATGCCTGAGGCTCTCTTTCAGCTTCTACACTGTTGCCGGGCTCTTCTGGGTGTGTAAGCTCCATGCACTAACTGCACCGAGCGGCTGGGCGGGCTGGGCTATGCAGACATCTGTGAAGGAAGGCGAGGGCTGGGCCCGACGGACAGAGTCAAGGGTCTCCTCCAACCCCGGGCAGGGATCCGAACCGCCCACGGAGAGCCTGTCAGCTTCGCTGGCCAGTCTTTCAAACACTGTGGCCCTGCAAGCAAAGGACTTCTCTACACAGTGGGGCCTATGGAAGACATCTAGTCTTTGGCTGCCCAGCAGCCTCCTACCCCTTTTCTGCAAACTGTCCTTTCTTTGGAGAATCCCTAGCCTCCCACGTGATCCTGACCCCGAGCATGAGAAGTTGGCCCGGTCTGGCCAGGCCACCAGAGCGGGGCGCCCTGGTGTCCTTCCTCACGGTACGTACAAACTGGGACTAAGACGGGTGACTGAAACCGACAGCAGCGGCACAGAAGCCGTGTTCCAAACTGCAGCGAAACATGAGATGGCGGGCCCTTGCCGGTGTGGCCCGGCTGGTTGGAGTGTGGCCCAGCCAAGGCAAAGGTCACGGGTCTGGTCGCCAGTTATGGCATCTCAGAGAGGCAGCCAGTCGGTGTCTCTCTGTCACAAGGATGTTTCCCTCCCTCCCTCCTCTCCCCTCTAAGTGTATTCTCGGGTGAGGATTAAAAAAAAAGGAAGGAAATGGGGGGTGGGGAGAGCACCACAGAGGGCCCCCGAGTTCCCCAGCCACCCAGCCCTGGTCCTTGTCTGTAGACATCCAGCCCTGCAACAAGGCTCTCCTTTGGCAAGAACTAGCTCGGACTGAGTTTCTATGACCCACGCGGAGTCTTTGGCCATGAAGTGGAGAAGTGGTCGGAACTGCAGCGACCACATTGCTGCAAAGGTGCCCACATCTGCCTACCAGATGGGACGCACTCCTCAGCATCTCGACGGCTCCTGGTCGTCCTTGTGCCCTCCGCGCACTTTACACCTGACATACACTCAGTGAGCAGCTGTTGAGTGTGATCTGAAAACAGCCTCCGATGTTTAAAAAACCCAACAAACCCAGATGTTTGTTTTAATAGACTTTTGCTGGTCTCTAGCGCAATAACCACCTGAGTGACCGTCACAGCTTTCCACATGGGCCCGCTGCAGGAGGGGAGAGGGACCCAGGGCGGTACAGGACTTCAGAGGAGCGGTCGCGGGGACAGGACGTGCTGAAAGCTGGAGTGGGAACCAGGACTCTCAGAGCAGAGCAGGGCGTCTCCAACCACGGGACAGAACCCTCTGCCCACATGGGCGCCCCCCGCCCTCACACGCCCTGGACACCAGCTTCCCCGGGCCTCACGCTCACCATCCTCACCCATCGCTTCTCTCCAAACCTAAATACCTCCTCCTGCCCCCGGCTCCACATTCCCAAGTGTTTCAAACACTCACCCACGGATGGCATGGCAAACGACCTTCCCCCCAAAGCGGCCACGCCTCCTGACTCCCCTGCTGCTGTGACAAACCCCACATTCCCCAGGACAGATTATCAGGGTCATCACACTACATAATGGCATACGATGCAGAGACCAAAGACATTATTACATATATTGACCTGGAAAATGTTTGCAGTATGTGCCCCGCAAAAGCAAACCAGAATGTGTAATGCGACCTGTGCTCATGGACACACACACACACACACACACACACACACACGCACGCACGCACGCACACAGGCAGTACAACGCAATGGCTAAGCAGGTCTTGGGGGGAGGGGGACACATCCGGTTGAATTTATGACCACAGGGGCAGTACCTAAATTTGAGTGACTTTTTAAAAATATAAAATAGACTTTGAGTATCTATCTCATGGAGAAGTTACAAGATGATGTACGAGTACAGACAGCGTTGACATTGTGCTCACACAGCAGGTATCCCCGAAATATTGACAGTGATTATCTCTGGGTGCTTAGACTGTCATTTTGAACTGTTTTGCTTTGCTGGACTTTCCATAAAAGGCTGAAGTCGCCTCTGATTCCTTGTCGTCACCTTCCCCTACTCTAATATTTAACCAGCAGTTCCTGCAGATTCTGCTTCAGAGCAGCGTCTCCTTATACAGGGCTCTTGCTCCACGTTGGCGGGTCCCCACCCTGCTGGAGGCTCTCACCTCCTCCCCGCACACCTGTAGCATCTCACGCTCCCTCCTGCACCCTCCCATCAAATTCATTCCTCAAACTCCAACTGCATACCCTTCCCTGGCTACCCGAGGCTTCCCGCCTCCCTTGGGCCATGGCAGTGTTAATGGGCCTCCCCACGCTGTTCCGTTCCCGGGGGGCACTCAGTCCCTGCTTGCACTCCGATAGCCCTTCTGTCTTGCTGAAACCTGTGGCCTTCTAAGGCCTCCACGTGCCCACTGCTGGAAGTCAGCCCTTTCCGTGCTCACAGAAAACGGATTTAACCACATTCTGCCATGAATTCTAGTTGCATCCTTTGATGCAGATTTGACCTCAGGTGTTCAAATTAAACAGATCAACACACATTATTCTGCAAATAATTCATGAATGAACTTCTAGCTCTTATCTCTCAAGGCCCCCCAATGGGAGCCTCAGCTTGGGTGTCCCCTCAGATCTCTTAGCCCCCTCAGCTCCAAGTTAGTAAATCTCTTAAAAAGCCAAAGACCACAGTACTGCCAACGACCTTGTGACACTTCTCTAAAGGGACCTGTCGAGGCCTGTAGCCCTATCTTCTCTCAATCTCAGCTAAATAGCAAACAGACCTACCCTGGCTGTTTATTTTCCTTGGGCTCCGAACAGGCTAGGCGTAGGGACAGCGCTGGCCCAAGGCACAATCATCAGGTTGGGGCTGTACTTCAGTGGCCCCAGAGGGACCTGGAAAATTACTCTCCCACATGGCAGGCCGACTCCCAAGCCATCACAGCAACACTTCAGAGCGTGTTTATAAACCCAAGAGCAAGACCACAGGAGTGGCCCCGCCGCTTTCCTGTCCGTTTCAGTAAGAATCTTATGGGTGGGGAGGCGCCCTCTTCCTATGTCACCGCCACATTTACCCGACATCCGAGTTCAGCCTGTTAACATACTAGGCATAAGTTTATCTAATTCAAACGCAGCGCTGGTTTCTATTAATGTTGTTTTTTTTTTTAAATAAAAATGGTTGGTTTGGAATTTAAGTCATTCTATAAGAAGCTTAAAGCATCTTCTCAGAGAAAACTGGAATCACTTCAATGCCAGATGCAAAGGGAGAAGACAACATCTAATTGATTTAAAAGTGTTAAGGCTGCTTTTCCAGATTTAAGTCTGTTTTCGGAACAGAGATGCTTCTCTAAAAAAAGGAAGCATAAATTGAATTTTTCTAAGCAGTACCTAGATGCATATTTCAAGGATTGCGATGATAAATATTTGGGCAAATTTATTTATGGGGTAGGGGAAGCAGCTTTCATATATTAGACTTCTTAATTAAAGAATGCATGTATTCGCCTATCCTAGGAGGAGAAAAGACCCATAGGAGGTGAAAGAAATGGGCAGATTCTAAAAAATAGGGGCAGCCAAGGAGAGTGACCACGACCAGCTAGAAGGTTAGAAAGGAGCAGATTTTCTGTTCTTGCCTTGCCTGGTCTAAACCGGGAGGAGAAAGCTGGGGAGAGGCTCACTGACATCTAAATCCAAATCCTTGCCCTGCTTTTGGCGTCACTCTAAATCGCGTGTCCCGGTACACAAACACCTCGTGTACTTCCCAAGGACTGAGGAAAACTAAGCCCCATTGTTTGCAGCCCAGACGCAACGCGAAGACCCGCACGGGCTTCCCCCAGACGTGAAGGACACAGCTGCCGGGCGCAGAGAGGGGCGAGGGGCGCCTTCGCCTTCCGCACCATCTGTGGCCGCCCCTCTCGCGGTAATCGGATTCTGCTGGCGCCGCCTGGGGTGCGGGGGAGGGGGAGAGGGCTGTTCCAAGCGGCTGTCTACACACGCTCGGACAAAGCTGTCCTCCTCGGGGCAGGAAAACACGATCTCACATAGCTCAAAGCCCGCGGGCGCAGTCGGAGCCGTTCCCAGACGTGGGAAGTCGGCTGCGCTCTCAGAGGGGTGATAAAGGCGCCTCCCGCCGCCGGAGTTTCCGAGCCAGCGGGACAGCGGCGGCGGGGCTCCGAAAGCTGCCCTTTGAAAGTGAGGACCCTCCTTGGGCGACGGTCCCATCGTGGGCACAGAGAGAGCAAGTAAAAGGGGTGGCTGGAAGGACAGTGCCCAACTTCCGCGCGGACTGCTGGGGCCAAAAAACAAAACAAAACAAAAATCCCAAAAAACAGAGAGGGGCGGGTGGGCGCAGGGACTTCCGGGGCAGAGCACTGTTCCCGCGAACTCGCCCGAACGAGAAGACGCCTCCCGCCCGGCCCGCGGAGCCCCCTTACCATCTCTTTGCGAAGCAGGGCCAGCGCGGCGTCCAGGTTGGGCGGCTTGGCGGGCAGCGCCGCGCTGCGGGCGCCACCGCCGCCCCCCGCGCCGCCACGGCTGAGCTCGTCCTGGATGCGCGACTTCTGAGCGTAGAGCCGCTCCAGGTGCCGCCAGCCCCCCACCGCGCCGCCGCCGGACGCCGAATGCAGCAGCCCGCTCAGGCTCTTGGGCAGCGGGGGCAGCCCGTCCACCCGCAGCCCCCGCGCCGCGCCCGCCGCCTCCGGCGCCGCTCCAGCCCCGCTCATCGCGCCCGCCCCGCCACGCGCCTGCCCGCAGCTGTCCCAGCCAAGGCTCCCCCAGCCCGCCCCCTTCCCGGCGGCGCCCCACCCACTTCCCGCCCCGCCCCGCCCTGCGTCCCCGCCCGCGCACTAGCCCCCAGGAGCCCCACCGGCCCTGCTTACTTCCAGCCCCGCCCACTTGTCCCAGACCCGCCTCCACCTGTTTCCTACCGCGAGCCTGGCTCCCTTCTAATCCCACCCCCTTACCCTCTGCCCCACCTCCGCGCCAGGGCCCGCCCCTACTCGGGTCCGCGTCTGTCCTGTGCCCGCCCTCGCTCACCTTTAGCCTTTAAGGGGGCTGCCCCCTACACCTGCCCAGGCACCTCGCGGGACCGAGCCCCGCCCCAGCTGCCCCACTCCTGGCCAGTTGGGTTCCCCGAACAGCCCCCAAAGCTACTCGCAATGATCGAGGGGGGCCATTTCAGATGCCTTGGATGAAGCTGGCTGGTAACGGGGGTGGGGGTACAGAGGCTCCCGCTCGCGACCCGCAGGACGTCAGAGAGAAAGTCGGGCAGTGCTGGCGATCCCGCCCGAAGTCGCTGATCCCAAGGCCAGGACCCACCGACGAGTCCGGGCTGACGGAGGTCTTGGCCGCAGGACCCCCGCCTCCCCGCAAGGGAGGAATCAAGACTCGCCGCCAGAAGGACTGGACCAGCCGGACCCCAGCAAGTCACGCGTCCGCTGAGGTGTGCGGCCCTTCTCCGTAAACGGCACGTCCACCCGCGGGCCCAGCAGCCCAGAAGAGCTCCAGGTCCACTTTGGGACTTCAAAACAAGCATGTCTATCAGCTTGGCCGTGAACGCACGAGTAATTCTAAATGGACACGTTAGGAAAGTAGAGAAAAGGATTAAATCTCCGAAAGTATCCACCAACTTAGGCAAAAACAACATGATTCACACCTCAGAGGGAGCGAACAGAAAGAGAAACAGGCTTTTCCCCTTCTAGAAAGAATAAAAATGACGGTTACAACCAGATTAGAGGTCAAGGAAGGGGTCAAGGAAGTAAGCCCCGATTGGCAGCCACAGTCCCACCACAGATGAGATACCGATACACAGAGTGGATAACTTTAGTGCCCACTGGTTATTAGTTTTAGTTATTAAATGGATTCAATTGTTCTAAACATATTCAACAGGATCATAAATTACAAGGTGTTCTGAGCACTTCAGACAGCCAGTGTAAAAAGCCCAGCACCTTGGGGGGGGCTTTCTCCCTTTAATCTACGCCCCCCACAAAGGTCCCCCCAGAACTGTTTTTTTTAACGTTGGCAGGCGTCTCCGCTGGCCCCTTGCAGCTGGGTGAGAGGGACAATGAGAAGCCCCAGCTCAGGCGGCGGGAGCTGAGGGCATCCAGCAGGCTTTGCACTCCACCCGCTGCTCAAAATTTTCCACGTCATCACTGTGCCTCGCCTTCCACTAATCACCTAGTCACATTTCCGGATTTCAGGTATTCGTTCTTTCGCCTGTTTAGACAGTGGGTGTCTTTGGGAGAGTGACAAACTTGCTCGAGTGGGAGTTAGGGAGAGGAGGGGACGGAAGCATTTTGATCTCTCGTTCACACCCTGGCATGAATTAATTTAATAATTGCTGTCTGTCCTTCAGAGATTACTGGAAGTTAGGTGATTGGAGGCTTGGTTATCCATTATCCATGGTGCAATGAGGAAAGAAATCATTTCAAAGTACCAAGACACTGACATCATTTTAAAACACATACCCGAGAGGATTATGGATGACATAAAGGGAAGATGATGAGGGACAATTTAAATGATGTCAACCACACACTTTTAAAGGCAGGCTCTGCATTCGGGGAGGTACTCAATGAGGTGAACATGTTGAAGTAGACTCCTTTATATCAACAAATAACAATTGGGTGTGAATGGAAATTTCTACAGAATTCCTGTCGTACCAACTAAGACTCTATTTATATAAACCCAAAATAATAGTTATGCAAAAGTCTAACAAATGTTGTAACACACAGGGAGTGTCAGTGTCTGCTTATTGAAAGGCCAATATAAGGTGTCTCTTATGGCTCATGCTTGCAAAAGGGATGAAGTAATAAATAACTTGTGAACATGTTTTGCTTTAATTCAATTTCGAAATAACAATCTTACGATCTCAAACCAGAAGGAGGCCCAGTTATTTTCTATGCAGCTAAGTCAGTCTTTCTTTTTTTCCCTCTTATCTCTTTGGTTTGGTTTTGTTGTTCACAGGCTCTTCGAAGTAAGAAGATAGAGACTTCTAATCCAGGGCTCTATTCATTAACTCACACCTCTTCTTAGACTTTGTAGATCAAGGTCAGGAACCTGAACCTTGGAGCACAGGCCTCAGAGGCTCAGACATCTGATGACTCTTGGTGGATCTAAGGCAACATTTTCATGGCTGTGAACTTACGACCTTCCAGGGACTCACAGAGAGGCTTTCTCGTCTTGATTCTTCCACTGGTCCAGCCTCTCAATCCACCTCTCATCCTTACCCACTGGGTATGTGCCTTCTGGAACATCGTGAAAACCTAGAAAATGCAGTAAATAAATTAAAACATTTGAGAAGAATCTGCCACGAGCTTTATTCCCTTAAGTGCAAGAGGAGGCACGTGGCTGAGGAGGCTTCACCGGACGAGACAATGCACTTCGGAAGAGAAGAGGCAAAATGGTTTCAGAGTAAATCCGATGGAAGAGGAGATGGGGAAGTGGGGTAGAGAATTCGAGAAGTTTTGTGAAAAAACAAGTCACGAGAAGGCTGAAATTGATGGGCAAGCTGGTGCAAGGGAAAATGGTGTTAAGAGGAGAGGAAAAATGCTTGGATTATTATCACTCATTCATATCTCCCTTCCTCCCTCCTTTTTTTCCTTCCCATTTAATCTATTTTATGCCAGGCAATGAGCCAGGTTCAAAGATATAAATAAGTTACTTTGAGATAATGAAGGAAATACTGTTAAGAACATGGTAATTATTTTTGTTAATGAGGTACCAGCTTCTCCTGAACCATCTGAAATAATTGGAGGGTCACACTTGGTAAAGCCTGCCGTTCAAATTTCAGAACTCTCTAAGTTTTAGAAATAATTGTCCTCCATGGTGGCTTCTAAATCAAAAAGCCTTTTTACATGCACTCTCTCATTTATCTCCACAAAAGTCCTTATTTACTTAAAAGTCTTTATCCGTTAAAAAAAATGCTGCTTTTGGAAAGCATTTTAAATTGTCAGGACCTGGTTAAACACTGTTCCCCGAAGTCACCTGTGTGGCTGTTTTTTCTCCCCAAGGAACAGCTCTCGCATTCCTCTGATTTGTCCCTTCTTCCGGGTTCGACATCTGCAGACGCCACAGCTGACCTGCTGTGAGGATATGGTTTTGAATTGCTTTGCCCCCTAATCACTCTCTTCCAGACACATACTGCTTGTCAGTACTTTTCTTTAAAGGTACTGCTCATATGTAAGTGAAAGTTTCCAGATGTGTTTGACAGGTTCTCCACAGCCTTGGCCTGTTTCCTCCCCCTTACTGTTCTACTTCTTTTGAAGCTTAAAACCAAATTAAAGTTGGGGTTGACGCATCACACTTCTGAATGATATTGAACTTAATAATCCAACTTTAGTTTTAACACTTTTCAGGTAAGTTGCACAAGAGAATAACAGGCTATCCCCATAAGTGTTAAGATAAACAAATATGTGTTTATTTAGGCCCAGGGCATTTCTGGAAAGACGTGTAAGAAAGTGACTCTTTACTTCTAGGGAGTAGGAAAGGGAAGGTCTGAGAGGGAGAGTATTAACCTTTTACTTTATACCCTTTTGTACTATTTGCATTTTGCATTAAATATGGAATAAAATATGTGATTACAATTGATTCTTAACTAAACTTAGTCAATGAATAATTAAATGTCTCTTTTTGTATGTACTACAGTTAAGCTGAAAGCTTAGTTTTGTGTAGCTGGCTTTTTTTTTAACCTAAATGTGATACTTTGCCTTATATCTATTAAATTTCATCTTGTTTTATTCAACTTATTGGATCCTGTCTGGGAAAACGTTTTTGAGCTTGATCCTTTAATCTAACTTAATACCTATCTTTCTCAGAATTATCTCACCTGCTAAATTAACAAATATACCATTTATGGTGATAATAATAGTTATTAAACCTAATATTTTTAAGGGTCTACTATATTTGTGTACGGGGATAAGTATTTTACAGGCAGTATCTCATTTACTCTTCATAACATTCCTTTGAGGTTGGTGTAATTATCCCCATTTATGGATGATGAAACCAGAGTTAAAAGAGGAAAATTGACTTGCTCACAGCCACACATGTCATAGTAGTAGAGCTGAGATTTGAAATTAAGGTCTCTCTGACTCAGAGTGAGTATTTTTTTTAATTGTGATAAAAACATAGCATGCAATCCACCTCTTAACAAACGTTTAAGTGCACATTATGGTATGGTTAACTATATGCACCTTGCAGAGTAGTGTTCTTAACCACTGCGGCACCCAAGTCACCCATGAACAAGGATGAACAGAACAGGGTCAAGGACAGAAACTTGTGCCAGAGACCCTCCTGCAGTGCAGCTGCAATTTGTTGACTCACATTCCTTGTGTGCATTATGCTGTCGCTCAACTGTGGGGGATTTCAAGGTCTAGCCTTACAAGTGAGCTGTCCAGTGTGATAGCCACCAGCCCCACAGGACTACTAAGTGCTTGGCATGTGGCCAGTCCAAGTCGAGATGCACTGTAGGTATAAAATACACACTGGATTCCAAACACTTAGTATGAAATAAAGAATTGAGATATCTCATTAGCAGTTGTTTATGTTGATTGCTTGTTAAATTAATAATATTTTGGATATATTTGGTTAAATAAAATATATCATTAAAATTAATTTTACCTCTTTATTTTTATAAGACTACTAGACAATTTATAATTACATATAAGGTTTGCATTTGTGGCTCCCATTGTACTTGTGTTGGACAGCACTGACCTAAAATAAGTTCCTA